TCCCCATCTCCCCCCTTCACTCCCCATCCCCCTCTGTCCCCACCCATTCCCCAGGACTGGAGGAAAGGACCCAAAGAACAAACACAGGGATGGAGGGTGAATGGGCAGGAGACCCCCTGGAGCTGGGAAGGAGGAGTTGGAGCTTTGCTGGGCTTGGTTTCCTCCAGTGCCCTCAGGCTCCTTCCCTGAAACATTAAACTCCACTTTTCCCAGGGGTTGGAGCAGATTCAGAGACATGGAAGCTCAAGGAAATCAAGGCTGGAGCAAGAGACCTGGAGAAGCCATCTGGAGAAGCCATCTGCAGCACCTCTCCTGCCAGAGCCTGTCCCCCCACCAATCATGGCAGTGTCCAGGGACCCCCAGGGTGCTCTCCCCTCACCCTCCAGCCCCTGCCCCTCAGCACCCCGGCTTCCTGCCACTGGGGGCTGCCCAGGAGCTCACCCACTGCTGCTGCTGCTTGTCCTTGTCCTCAGCCTCCTGCTGCTGCTGGAGACTCCTGCAGTGACAAGGGACAAACAGGGGGTGAACAAAGGGGCAGGATGAGGGGGTTAGGCTGCTGTACGACCCCAGAAGGGAGACCCATGGGTGGTGCTAGAGAAGTGGCCAAGCTGGTTTGGAAGGGGAGAAGATGGTGGTGGAGTCCCCATCCCTGGAAGGGTTTCCAAGCTGTGTAGATGGTGCTGAGGGACATGGGTTGGTGGGGACTGGGCAGTGCTGGGTGAACAGGTGGACTCCACGATCTTTAAGCTGTTGGAGTAAGTCCAGAGTATTGTTGGAGTAAGTCCATGCCATGGAGCAGCTCTGCTCTGAGACAGGTGGAGAGTTGGGATGTTCAGCCTGGAGAAGAGAAGGCTCCAGGGAGACCTTAGAGCAGCTTCCAGTGCCTGAAGGGGCTCCAGGAAAGCTGGGGAGGGGCTTGGGACAAGGGCAGAGAGGGATGTGATGAGGGGGAAGGGTTTCCAGCTGCAAAAGGGAGATTGAAGTGAGATATCAGGAAAGATTCTTCCCTGTGAGGGTGGTGAGAGCCTGGCCCAGGGAAGCTGTGGCTGCCCCATCCCTGGGGGTGTTGAAGGGCAGGTTGGATGGGGCTTGGAGCAGCCTGGGCTGGTGGAAGGTGTCCCTGCCCATGCAGGGGGGTGGATCTAGATCATCTTTAAGATCCCTTTGAACCCAAACCAGTCTGAGATTTGATGACTCTCTCATCTTACAGGCCTTTTCCAACCCAAACCCTTCCATCATTCTCTGCCTCTGAGACGCTTGCCCCATCTTTGGAGGACACCAGATGAATGAGCTCACCAGCCCAGCTGGTCCAAACTTCCACCACAGCTCTGGGAAGGTAAACACGGCCCAATTTCAGAGGCAGACAGAGGTTTGGTTGGCACAGGCTGAACCCACCCCAAGGGCAATCTTTCCTTGAGTGCCACCTCATGGAGCTTCCCTGGGATGGCAGCAGTGGGGAGACGACTCGGGTTGGAGGTGGTGAGGAGGACATGGAGAACAAGGCCAAGGAATGCCAGGGAGGGGGGTGGGCTCAAGCAAGGGAACAACCCCTGCCTGGGGACTCACTTCTGGGCTTCCATCTCACAGGCTCTGGTTCTGCAGAGCTGCTCCCGTTCCGCCGCCCGGCGCTGCTCCTCCAGCCGCCGGTTCTCCTCGTCCTTCTGGGGGGACGAGCACCAGTGCTGGGAACCCCCAGCTTGGAGGAACCCCCCCTCCCAGAGGAACCCCCCCAGCTTGGACAACCCTCTCCCCCAGCCTAGAGGAACCCCTAGTGCTGCCAGAGGCTGGTGGGGCTGGGTTGACAGAGCAGGGGTTTGGGACCCCTGCTGGATCCCAAGGTTTCACCCTCCTCTTATGTGGCTGCTGAGGAGAAGCAGCAAAACCCACCTCAGCTTTGGCCCAGAAATGATCTTTATTGACCCTCTTGATTTCTGACATTGCGTTCGTCTTCTGGTAGACAGAGCCCTGGGGGGGACAGGAGGTGGCACGTGTCAGTGGTGGCCATCACCATCAGTTGCATTTCTCTACAGAAATGTGTCCTCGTGGGTTTCTGGAAGCTTCTTCCAGATGCCATGGGACTAGCTGGACCCCCTGTGTACCCCACATTGACCCAGCCCCACGTGGCCAGGGCTGGAAGGGGCAATGGAAGATACTTAACATGAAGTATTCAAAACAAACCAACCAACCACTTTGTCATGTGACAAAACAGCAAAACCAGCAGGTCCAGCACAAGCAGTGGCTTTTTAGAAGTCACCGTAACATGAAGCTTTGTCCCAGACTCTGAAGAAGGGCCAGAAGGGTCAGAAGTTGGGCAGGAAGGTTTAGGTTGGATCATGGGAACAATTTCTCCATGGAAAGGGTTGTCAGGCCGTGGTCCAGGCTGCCCAGGGCAGGGGGGGAGTCTCCATCCCTGGAGGAGTTTCCAAGCCTTGGAGATGGTGCTGAGGGACATGGATTGGTGGGGACTGGGCAGTGGAGGGTGAATGGGTGATCGTGGAGGTCTTTTCCAACCCAAACCATTCCATGATTCCATGAAAAACAGACAGTTTAAGCCTAGTTCTCCTCTTGGCTGAAGCAAAAATAGCATCACTGCAGAGCCCAGGCTGGAGCAGAGGTGGTCAGGACAGGTGGGACCCTGGCACCAGCCCAGCAAAGCCCCTGAGGGTCATGAGGATGAGGGTCCCAGACTCTGCCCCTGTCCAGAAACCCCCCCTTCCCTGACAGAGCAAACTCACCACAGGAGCCTGGGGGCCCAAGTCCTGGAACTTGCTGCTCTCCTTGTGGAAGTTGTAGTTGGCCCCTGAGGCCTTGGCAACCTTCTCCATAATGAGCTCAGGCTCCACGTCCTCCTCAGCCCGAGCATTGATGGTGACATGGGCTCCCTGACCAGGGAGAAGCAGGACATGGGTCATAGGGTCCCTACCACCATGTCCCAGACCCAAGGCCCACCAGGAGGACCCAGGAAGAAGACCAGACCTTGAGGAAGTTGGCCACGGTGCTGACGTGGTTGGCGCAGGCTCCTTTCCGCACATCGTTGACACCTTCACCAATCTGCAAAGAGAAACCACCAGCTCACCCCAGAGCTCCATCCCAGGCTGCTTTGGTGGCAGCAGGACCTCAATGAGGGACAGGGTTTCTGGAAGCTTCTTCCAGATGCCATGGGACTAGCTGGACCCCCCGTGTACCCCACATTGACCCAGCCCCACGTGGCCAGGGCTGGAAGGGGCAATGGAAGATACTTAACATGAAGTATTCAAAACAAACCAACCAACCACTTTGTCATGTGACAAAACAGCAAAACCAGCAGGTCCAGCACAAGCAGTGGCTTTTTAGAAGTCACCGTAACATGAAGCTTTGTCCCAGACTCTGAAGAAGGGCCAGAAGGGTCAGAAGTTGGGCAGGAAGGTTTAGGTTGGATCATGGGAACAATTTCTCCATGGAAAGGGTTGTCAGGCCCTGGTCCAGGCTGCCCAGGGCAGGGGGGGAGTCTCCATCCCTGGAGGAGTTTCCAAGCCTTGGAGATGGTGCTGAGGGACATGGGTTGGTGGGGACTGGGCAGTGGAGGGTGAATGGGTGATCGTGGAGGTCTTTTCCAACCCAAACCATTCCATGATTCCATGAAAAACAGACAGTTTAAGCCTAGTTCTCCTCTTGGCTGAAGCAAAAATAGCATCACTGCAGAGCCCAGGCTGGAGCAGAGGTGGTCAGGACAGGTGGGACCCTGGCACCAGCCCAGCAAAGCCCCTGAGGGTCATGAGGATGAGGGTCCCAGACTCTGCCCCTGTCCAGAAACCCCCCCTGCCCTGACAGAGCAAACTCACCACAGGAGCCTGGGGGCCCAAGTCCTGGAACTTGCTGCTCTCCTTGTGGAAGTTGTAGTTGGCCCCTGAGGCCTTGGCAACCTTCTCCATAATGAGCTCAGGCTCCACGTCCTCCTCAGCCCGAGCATTGATGGTGACATGGGCTCCCTGACCAGGGAGAAGCAGGACATGGGTCATAGGGTCCCTACCACCATGTCCCAGACCCAAGGCCCACCAGGAGGACCCAGGAAGAAGACCAGACCTTGAGGAAGTTGGCCACGGTGCTGACGTGGTTGGCGCAGGCTCCTTTCCGCACGTCGTTGACACCTTCACCAATCTGCAAAGAGAAACCACCAGCTCACCCCAGAGCTCCATCCCAGGCTGCTTTGGTGGCAGCAGGACCTCAATGAGGGACACAACCACACAATGAGGGCTCCAGGCTCCTGCCGACCCTCAAACACTTTGTTCAACCCATCCCATAGGGGTTCAGAGGGTCCATTGCTGCCAGCTGGGTGAGCTACATGGCCAAGTAGACACCATGGGGACATGAATTCCCCCCATAGCCCATGTCCAGGCTATCCCAGTGGTGGGGTTGGAGCTTCCTCAGTATCACTCCTCAAGCATGACTGGAAGGAGAACCCAAGGGAGGATTTCATGGACAATGATGTCCCCCACTCACCCAGTTGACAAGGACGTATTTGGGCAGGCCAGAGTTGGGGTCCTTCACCCTGCAGAAGGCATACATCACCTTCCCACTGTTGAGCTCCTCCACCATCTCCTCCAGACCACCATCTGCCCCAGGAGAGGAAAGAGAATTTGGGGACACCCCAATGACCAACACGGGATGGGAACAGTTGCACCTGCAGCCTCCTGGGCATCATTTCTGGAGCTGTCCCACACCAAGAGGACCCCTCATGTTTGCACTGGTCCTTCTGTGACCTGCCCATGAGCCTCAGACCCTTCCCACCCATGTCCCCATCCTCAGCTGGAGCTCCTCTTCCTCACACCTTCTCTGTCACAAGCCCAACTCCACATATGGAAAGATCCACCATCCCTGGAGACATCTAAAGACAGATGTGGTGCCAGGGGAAAGGGTTTAGTGGTGGACGTGGCGGAGTTAAGTAGTGGTTGGACTTGATGATCTTGAAGGTTTTTTCCAACCAGAACCATACTATGAACCTGGGCTGTAAAGTGACAATGGAGAAGGGCAAGGAGGTGCCCACAGGCCACTAAGTGATCAGAGGTTGGAACCAGAGTGAGCAGCTGCCAACCCTGCCCAGGGGTTGCTCCACCAAAGCTATTGCAAGGTCTGCAGCTGGCACCTCTCACCACTGAAATACAGCTCAAGAGGTCCTGAGAACATCCCTCATGACAAGGAGGACACTGAGGGGCTGGAGGGTGTCCAGAGAAGGGCAAGGAAGCTGGGGAAGGGGCTGGAGCAGAAGGAGAAGGGTCTGGAGAACTTGTGAGGAGCAGCTGAGGGAGCTGGGGGTGTCCAGCCTGGAGAGAAGGAGGCTGAGGGGAGACCTTCTGCTCTGCAACTGCCTGAGAGGAGGTTGGAGCCAGGGGGGTCGGGCTCTGCTCCCCAGGAACAAGTGATGGGACAAGAGGAAACGGCCTCAAGTTGCCCAGGGGAGGTTGAGGTTGGATCTTGGGAACAATTTCTCCATGGAAAGGGTTGTCAGGCCCTGGCCCAGGCTGCCCAGGGCAGGGGGGGGTCCCCATCCCTGGAGGGGTTTCCAAGCCCTGGAGATGGTGCTGAGGGACATAGGTTGGTGGGGACTGGGCAGTGCAGGGTGAATGGGAGGGCTCCATGATCTCAAAGGTCTTTTTCAACCCAAAGGGTTCCATGAGAAGCAGTGGAGGAACCTGCTGTGCTGTGTTCCTGTCCCACTGCCTCAGCTTGGCCCCACCAGAGGGAAGTGGAGAAGAACTCAAACTGGAAGTTGGGCAGGAGGAACCTCCCACTGGTGTTAAACCGTTGGGGCCCCTCGGGCAGGTCTCAGGTGGGATCTGGGGTTGGGGGCAGGTGGGAGTCCACTCCAGCACCCAGGAGAAACCCCAGCACAGGGCTCGGTGGTGCATGCTGAGAAGCAGCTTCTCCTACAGAGATCTGCCAGGAAAGGTAGGAAAAACCACACCAACATGTGCTCTCTCTTCAAAAAAAGTTCCCTCAGACCACAATATTCATCCTTTGCTTTGTCCAGCTCCTGGAAAGCTGAACAACCATCTCCTGGTCACCACCAAGCCCTGGACACCACCCTGGTTACCACCAACCCCTGGCAGTGCTTAAATAATAAATATTTAAATATTAGCAGCTATTAAATATTAACAATCCAGCTTGAAAATTGGCTCCTGAGCCAGGTAGGAAAGTGAAAGGGCTGGAAGGGTGAAGCTGGTGGGATGCTGGGGCTAAAGGTTTAATGGGATGGGAGGACACCAAGGGAGGAGGGTGCAAATCCAGGGCAACCTGCCTGGGTCTTTACCTGTAGGAAAGTTTACATGGCAATGGGGGTAAAAACCAGTCCCAGGAAGCAGGGAAGGAAAGAAAGAGGAGATGGATGGAACCATCAGCCAGAAAACCCATGGGTTTTCCTTCACCTCTCCAGGATCTGAGACACTTCAGGGCTGCATTTTGGGTCCTTCAGAAAAGCAGGAGGAAGAGGAAGGAGCAGCCCCTGGGGGTGCCTCTGCTGCTGCCACCAAAGCTCTTCTCCATTTCCCTTGCTCAGAATCAGCACTAACACCCCTACCCACCCCCCACCCACTCTCATCTCATCACACCCTCTGGGGGGGGCAGAGCAGGCTCAGGGCATTAAAAACCAAAATCCCCCTTGAAATGAGGGAGGAAAACACCGTCCCCTGGAATCACGCCTGGATGCCAGTGCCCACCCCCTGGAGCCAGCAAGTATTTGCAGGGGATCAGTCCCCAGAGAACCCGGGGTGTTGGGGTCCCCAAGGTGCTCACCTCCCGAGCCGGCCACACGCAGGTCGTTGCTGTTGCCCTCGTAGGTGAACAGAGCCCTAAAGCCAA